CTAACAATGCCCCTTCTGGCAATTTTCATCTAATTCCTGATTCTGCTTTAGGTTTTGGTGACACTATTCCTATTCTGGCCATTTCTTGCTCCTGCCCAAGCAGTGGATGCCCGCAAGTGCCCACAATACTTCCCTGAAAGGACTTCATGGACTTTAATGTGCTAAATGTGACCCTGAAGTTTTACTGGTTAACTTCCACTTTATAGCTCCAGCCTTGGGCTACAGACCTTGCCTAATACATTAGTCTTCATCAGTTTCTCATTAAATGCTATTTCTGGGTTAACAATAGTTGATAAAAGTGGGGAGTCTCAGAGAAATGCTGGAAATCACAAAGACATTGATCAGAACTTTCAAGGTCATGCCACTGTAAGCCAAGAACCTACCCCTGCCCAGACCAGAGTAACCCATCATTGTAAAAATGAGAAATGCATTTGGCCTAATTAGATTAGCATTTCATTTTTAGGTAAATAGATGGAAAGACATTTCATGCTCATGCTAAGGAAGACTTAATACAATCATGATGCCAATACAGTATATAGAAATAAATTTAACTACATATGTGGGACATGTAGGACAATCTGTGGGACGAGATAATGGAGAAGCTCAGTATCAGCAGCTAAAACCAGGCAAGGAGCCAAGTATGGAAGACACTATCAATTTTTCACATGTAAATTCAGGTTAAAGTTGAAGAAAATGAAACCAAGTCCACGAGACTCAAAAAAGAACCTTGAGTATACACCACAAGAATTTCGAGAACACTCAGGAACAAATGTGCTGCACTGAACACTAATGAGAAAAGGCCTGATGAGCTGTGACATTTACTTTAAGAAAATAATTACACAAAGAAAGCAAAAGGTCGTTAAAAAGACAGGAACAAGAGAGAAGATTAAACTGGATGTCACAAGACACTTTGATACTTGCTCTTAATTGTAGAGTAGCCAAAGCAAATGGAAGAAATGATGAAGACAGAGAGCTGGACAGAAAATTTAAAAGGACAGCTCAAGAAGACAAAGTAAAACATTATAAAGGAATGTGCAAAGACCCGGAATTAGAAACCAAAAAGGAAGAACATGTTCAGAACCCAAAAACTTAAACTGAAAGAACTCAAGGAAAAATTCAAGCCCTGAGTTATAATCTTGAAAGATTCTATGGGCAAAATATTGAATGATGGAAGAAGCATTAAAAGATGGAAAGAATATAGAGTCACTGTACCAAAAAGAACTAGTCGACATTCAACTACTTCACAAGGTAGCATATGGCCAAGAACCAATGGTACTGAAGAAGTCCAAGCTGCACTAAAAGCATTAACTAAGAAAAAGACTCCAGGAATTGCTGGAATATTCACTGAACTGTTTCAACAAGCAGATGAAGCTCTGGAAGTACTCACTTGTCTATACCAGGAAATTTGGAAGACAGCTACTTGGTCAACTGACTGGAAGAGATTCTTATTTGTACCCAGTCAGAAAAAAAAAGGACCCAAAAGAGTACCCAAATTATAGGACAATATCATTGATATCACATGCAAGTAAAATGTTGCTGAGTAAAGCCCAATTATGATTACAGCAGTACATTGACAAGAAACTACCAGAGGTTCAGGCCAGATTCAGGAGAGGGCATGGAGTAAGGGATGGCAGATAGATCTTGGCTAAAAGTAGAGAATACCAGAAAGATGTTTACTAGATGTTTCATTGAGTACGCCAAGGCATTGGACTGTGTGGATCATAACAAACTATAGATCATTGGTTCTCAACCTGTGGTTTGTGACCCTTTGGGGGTTGAATGACCCTTTTATGAATCAGGGGTTGCTTGATTCATAACAGTCACAAAATTACAATTATGAAGTAGCAACGAAAATAATTTTATGGTTGGGGGTCACCACATGAGGAACTGTATTAAAGGGTCGTGGCATAACCGTGTTTCTCCAAAAGTAAGGCATCCCCCGAAATTAAGACCTACTTACAGTTTTGCCTCTCGCTGAAATATAAGGCATTCCTCTGAAAATAAGACTTCTCTGAAAATAAGCCCCCCTGGACCTACCATAACTCTGAACTTTGGACCATAGCAGCGGGGAGCTGCCATGCAGCTCACTGTTGGCCGCAGCGCAGCCGGAGCAGACAGGAAGTGCGAGGTCTCTTTTAATAAAATAAAACAATAAACAATAAATGTGTACTGCATTCTTCTTCATGGCAAAATAAGATATCCCCTGAAAATAAGACCTAGTGCATTTTTGGGAGCAAAACTTAATATAAGACAGGGTAAAGGTAGAAAGGTTGAGAACCACTGCTATGGTCAGTCTTGAGAAAATGGAGAATTCCAGACACTTTAACTGTGCTCATAGGAAACCTGTAAATGGTCAAAAGGCAGTTGTGTGAATAGAACTACTGAATACTGCATCACTTGAAATCAGGAGAGGTGTATGTCAGTGTTGTATCTCTCTTACTAAATGTTACTTACTTACTAAACCATACTGATTAAATCATTATGATGAGCAAGAATCAGAGAAGCTGGATTATGAAGAATAATGCAGTATCAGGGCTGGAGAAAGGCTTATTAATCTACTATATGCAGATAACACAACCTTGCTTGCTGAAAGTGAGGAGAACTGGAATCACTTGCTGATGAAGATCATGGATTAAAATTCAATGTAAAGAAAACCAAAATCTTCACAATTAGACCGATAAAGTAACATCATGATAAATGGAAAAAATATGGACACTGTCCCGGATTTCATTTTGCTTCGATCCTCAGTCAATGCCCATGGAACCAGCAATAAAGAGACAAAACTACACATTAGGTAAATCTGCTGAACAAGATTTCTTTAAAGTGTTGAAAGGATGTTACGTTGAGGACTAATGTATGCCTTGCCCAAGCCATGGTATTAACAATTGCCTCATAAACATGTGAAAGTTGGACACTGAACAAAGAAAAATTGATGCATTTGAACCTTGGAGTTGGAGAAACATATTGAAAGTTCCATGAACTGCCAAAAAACCAAACAAACAGATTTATCATAGAAGGTGAGATAGTTAGTTTATTGTGCCAGCCTGACCGATAAACACATGTGGGATTACATTGAAGGGCAGACAGATAAATGGCTTCGCAAGCCTCGCCTTTCTTGTCTCTCACTCTTTGATCATCAGACCACTGTGAGGCTGCCTTGCTCATTCTGTGCCTCAATTTGGAAGCTACACTACCTGTGGGGCACCTAACCTGTGGACTATGTCACTGTAATTTGAGGTTCCTTTAAGACCTCGCCTTCGCCACATAATTGGAATTTACATCTCTTGAGCTGGGGATGGACTGTTGGTGACCTGCCTTGCGGTTTGCTGCCTGTGCTGGGATAGCCTGCATCTCTCTACAGAGGACACCTGGTGGCCCTCAAGATTTGAAGGACTGCCAGTGTCTCACAACTGTCTAACACATTTGAAGTGTACTGAGCCATTTGTACTGCTTTATAATTTAACTGGTTGTTTCTTGTGTCTGTCTGTCTATCTATCTATCTATCTATCTATCTATCTATCTATCTATCTATCTATCTATCTACTATCTAACTGCTTTATAATTTAACTGTTTATTTCTTGTGTTATATCTATCTATCTATATAAATATGTATATAAAATTATTAGCAATCTGGTTTTCTCTCTCTCTCGAGAGAAGCCTGTCTAACACAGGAGTATAGCAAGTATGTTCCTTAGAGGCAGGGCTATGAGACTTTGTCTCACTACTTTGGACATGTAGTCAGGAGCGACAAGTCCTTGGAGAGTAACATCATGCTTGATAAAGTGGAGGTGCAGCAAGAAAGAGGAATGCCCTCAAAGATAAGGACTGACACGCTGGGCTCAAACATAAGAACAATTACGAGTATGGCACCGACCAGGCTGGGTTTTGTTTTGTTGTACATAGGGCTGCTCTGAGTCAGAAATGACTTGATGGCACCTACCAATAAGAACAACAAGGATTAAATGCAGGACTAAATAGATCAGTGCTTAGTGCCTCCAGAACAAGTCCTTTGGGTCACTAGGGCAGATGTTCTACATTTCTACATCTAGCCCTGTGCTTTATCTATAGACACCACTGATTTTATGTCCTGATTCCTCACTTTATAGGTGCCCCCTCCAAGGTACCCTTCTAGACAGTGACCAGAACAGTCACCTCAACAGTCTCATTAGAGACACGCCAACAACTTTAAACAATGGAATAAACATTTATCATTTTCTAGAATTCAAAGAGACTTTCCCCTTCCAAATTCCCATGGAACCAATACTGAAAGCTATTTATAATTCATGAGTTTCTACTGCATACTGAAATCCAAGCAGAAAAAGGTTTTAAAAAGCCCAAACCAAAACAAAACACTTGCTCCTTGTCTTATTGCTCTTTCTTGATTTGTTGACATTTACTCTTTACTTTTATCAACTCTTATAGGGGTGAAGACACATCTAGTTATAAGGCAATCAATCACTTTTTTACTAGCTCTTTTAAAAAAACTTGCATTAATGTCACTAAGATGATAATGACAATGACCACTTGAGAGAAAAGTGTTCAAGTGATTCCTTAAGCCAATAAAAGCCCTGCCAAAGAAACACATTTTGTGGGCACAGTGCAATCGGAACACAGTGGGTGTTCAATTTTAGATGAATCCAAATCCAATTTTTTTTTAAAGTGTAAAAATTTACTTTAGATTTCAGCTAATAATTTCAGGGCTGTTTCGCTTCTGTGTTTCAGAATTGGTGGAACAGGAAAAAGCACTGAGTCTCAAATTTACTATTCACTTGAGAAGCAGCTTAAAATTACTGACTTCTTAGAGAAGCACAAAATGCATATAAAATAAGATTAAAATTATCTTAAAACCAAAGATTATCTTAAGATCAAAGATTATCTTATCTGATCTTAAGATAAAAGATTATCAACGATTAAAATGATTTTAACTTAAAATACTAGTTTAAATAGCCTAGGGTCTTACAGGCATATTATTATCCCCAAACATTCACAAGCAGCAAGAATCACTTAAAACCATGTTTTATTTTTTGATTTTTATATTATTTTTCTATTATTTAAAGATTGAAGCAATAAGAGACGGATGGAAATATTTTGCTAGAAGAACAAAATGAGTTAATCATGTCGTATGCGCCTAATAAAAACCTCAGGGCTTTGTCATATACTTTAAACACAAAGCTAAGGCCAGTAGCAGGCTCATTTCTGAGTTTGCATAAAGCGAATGAACATATTTAAAAGGATCGATATAGTTTACTAGAAGTTGACACCATTTAATATATATATATATAAAATCAAACATAATTAAATAGAATATGGTTTAAATACATGAATACTTCAATTTCAGGATAACAGAGATGGTACATAGTACCAAACACTTATTTATACAGTCTTTTTTGCTTCTTTTGTTGCTGAAACAGTGTGCCTCTCTACAATCAAATATTGCAATGGAATAAATTCTCTATTTTTCAAGACGTTCTCAAAGACAGAGGTGATTAATAATTATATATACATACACATACATATATAAAATAATAATTTTTTTTTTTTGCAAAGTCTGAGCAAAAGCAGTAATGCCTAAGAGAATTTCCTTTCTCCTCAGACAAGTGCATCCAGTAAGCATCAGCATCTAGGGGCTGGTGGAGTATGCTTGTCAATGTACAGCCCACTGACCAACTATGATCCAGACACAGAAGCCAACTAAGTAGAAGAGCAGTGAATGAGTTTCTTACTATCCTGAGGACCTCCTCCCCCACCAAAAAAAAAAAGGCCATTGACTGCAAACTTCACAGCTCACAAAAAGAAAAGGGGAAGGCAGTCAAACAAAGTTGAGTATTTTATCAGCTAATTTCTTAAGTAAACTAGATTTATCCTTTTGGTAACAGAGGAGTATTTGGAGAAAGACTAATTTTAAGTGTACTTTATCTCAAGAACAAATGTTAAAATTGCATTCTACCATGAAGGGTCACTGAGACTTGACCTTTGTTAACTTCTTTCCAAACTAATGCAGCCTCACATCTGTGAAGGAAGGCTGTACAATGAATTATTATTCCATTCCATGCAAAGGAAAAAACCTGCTAGCACCACACTGCCACTGTGAGCTGCCTGGCTTTCAGTGGGATAGACATAACTTTTGTTTTAAGAAGACAAAGCAATCCATGCTGGTAACTAGTTTGTGATGCTATTAGGGAGGAGTCACTGCTACAAGAAGTTGCATCAGTTTTCAGTTCTATGGTTATCTGCCTCCTACAGTATGTAGCTGTTGTCTACCCTAATAGGCTGAAACTCTCTCATAAATGGGTTATTGCCATTGGAAAACTACTAATTTTTAGTAATGTAAACAATACCACTTTGTCTCTTTATGACTTTCACGGTGTGACATGATGTGCTTCAAATATGTCTGAAAGTTACTCTGTGTTATGGTGGAAGTCTTGGATTGTCTGCCATTTTTTCTTGAGAATATCAGTTAAGAGGAATACAGTGCTTTGTTTTCATTGACTGTGCTGAAGAATCCAAACAAAGGAAGAAGGTTCTCTTATATTTCAGAAACAGATTTTCCTTATGTCAGATGTTGAGTTATAGCTGAAAAAGATAAAAGAAAAGGGTAAAGTACATTTCTAAAACTTGGAACATATTATCATCACAGTTTAAGAAAGACAGAAGATAAATCTATAATGATTGCTTACTATACCAGCATTTACACTAGGTAGAAGCTGAATAAATCTTGTGAAGTAAAATGTGGTAATTATCTTCACTTACATATGAGGATAACACTTAACAATGATGAACAAAAGATGAACACAAACTTAAATTAACTTACTGCTTTAGTTATTTAATACTGCTGTAATAGAAATATAAGTTGATATCTTTAACAAACATTTTTAACAATCATGTTCCCAAAATCTGAAAATCACACCAAACCCATTGGCATCAAGTAGATTCTGACTCACAGCAACCTTATACAGGGCTTTTAGGGTGGTAAATCTATTGGAGCAAATAGCTTCATCTTTCCCCATGAAGCAGCTGCTGGGCTTGAACCAATGACCTTTCGATTGGCAGCCCAATACCTAATCCACAGCACCAAGACTCCTTTAGGAGGCTAAAAGTCTAAAAGGATGCTGGCTCTAGAGGAATGCTTTCTCTCTGCTGCTCTGAAGAAAAGTCTTAGATGATCTTCATGTGGTATGGTATCTCTCTTCCCCCATCTCTTTTTGTAAAACTTTATGTGAAGGTTTACAGAGCAAATCACCATTTTTGTATTCAACAACCTATCAAACCTCCCAATGGCTTGCCCATTTCCTCTTTGTCGAATATTATCTTTCCCTTCACCCAAATTAATACTTATCTACCTTCCAAAAACTGTATTTCCTTTATCCTACTAATAACCATCAAGTCTGTTTCTGTTGAAAACGTTTGTCTTCTTCTTTTAAACAAGTGATGTCATACAGTATTTGTCCTTTTGTGATTGACTAACTTCATGCTGTATAATGTCCTCCACATCCATCCATGTTGTGAAGTACTTCATAGATTTATCATTATTCTTTAATGTTCTTAGCTATGACACCAAAACATTATTCTTTACTGAGAGGTTTGCAAGGGTTAAAAGGGATGTTGGCAAATAATACCATTTTATATGCAATCCTGCAATAGTTGTGATCTACAAGTAGGTGTGTGGATAGATACACTGGCTGAACAGTGTGAGAAGGAGAATAAGCACATACCTATGAATAAATTTAGATTTGACAGAGCATATTTATATGTGTGTATTAGCTTTCCTGTAAATATACCCATGAATGTGGTAAGGCATACAGCTGAAAAGTTATAAAATCTTCTTTTATAGAACCATACAGTTAGAGGAAATGTGTTGCTGGGCCTGGGAAATGAGAACCATAGCCTTGGAAGACACCAAGGTCTATTGGCATAATCTGGTTCACAAAAACAATGCTCTACATCCTAATCTGGTGAGTAACAGCTGGTGTCTTAAAAGCTTGTGAGCAGTCATCTAAAGTACAATTATTGGTCTATTCTCATCTAGAAAAAACAAGAGTGATGAAAATGAAATGACAAATTTCAAACAGTCCAATGGCGTAATGGACTGTTCAAATATCAGTCTCCACAAACTTGAAACCAGAAGAACTAGATGGTGCCCAACTACCACTACCAACTACTCTGAAAAGAATCACACTAGGTCTTGGCTAGAGTAGGAGAAAAATGTAGAACAAAACTCAAAATCATAAAAAAGACAAGGCTTACTGGTTGGATAGAGACTGGAAAAGTTTCTAAGACTATGGTTCTTACTCTTTAAGTATGGAACTGAAATTACCTCCATGTTAGAAATAATCAGACATTTAAGGCTATGAGGACAAAACTCAGAAGATTGAGAAAGGAAAAGGAATAGAAACAGGAAACATAAAGAAGAAATGGGGATAAGTACTGGCACATTGAGGCATTGCAACAGATGAATTGAAACATGTATGAGTTGTTCAATCTAAACTGATGATCTGTTCTGTGAACCTTCACCTAATTCACAAACATTTTTTCCTCTCTTTTAAGTGCTAGTGAAGATGATTTATTGTAACGTATTTTAAACAGGGATAAGTCTTTTATTTATCAAAACTATCTAGAGAGCCAGCTTAAACAAAATAGTGGCCTGTGATGGGATCTTCCGCGTCATTTAACTTCAAGGCAGAGACGTTAGGTCAGTAGGTTATGATGACAGGTTTGGGGGATTTCTAAAGGCATAATGTTTGAAGGACACAGAAGGACTATGGGAGCTTATTATAAAGAACTTATAAGAAAACAGAAAAACTGTATTAATGACAAAAAGGCTAGGAAAGTTGTACTGATGAATTTTTTTCTATCACTACAATACACCTACTCGTTCTTGTAAGGTTGAACAAGGGTTCTCCTAAGACAATTTTGTTTAGAAAGTTACACACCCACCTGAATCTTGTCCCTTATAATAGTTCCCATTGGGGTATGGAATGCTTCCAATATAAGTGGGCACTCTCAGGCAAAAGTTTCTTCTTTTTGATGGGTAGGGATTCTGCAGCTGGCTTACCATTCTAACCTCTAGTTCTTTGGTCTTGTGCAAATGGCCTGATGCTTTGCCTGCTGATCCCGGGCACTGTCATCAGACTTCAATATTACCTGCCAACCTTGGATTCATTCACTGTGCAGTGAAAGCCTGATGTCTTGACCGACATAGATCCAGAGAAGCTTCTAGCTGACATCTGCCACAGAATTGGAACTTGCCAGCCTGTACAAATGTCTCACCATTTCCTATGTATTCCTCTCCATCCTCTATATATATGCTTTACTAGAGAACTCTTCTGACTTTGTTCTCCAAACTCAAAAACCATTGAAAAACAACACAATTTGAGCCCCTTGAAGATGCCAACATTGTCACTTTGACATGGTAGAGAATTCCATGGGGAAAGGTTAGAGAGGTAGAAACACGGCTATCAGATGTGTAAGGACCAAAATGAAGGATATTGCAGGCAAGAACTGTTTCATATTTTAATATTTTTGCTTAATTAAGGTTTCTATGATTTTGCAGTATTACTTTCTGACTTACCTTCTCACAAAAACTAACTCAAAGTTGATCAGTGGTCAAAATATGAGAACTAAAACAATAAAATTTTAGAAGAGAACTTGGGACAATGTTTTATGTCCTGGTTTTTGACAATAGTTTTACTATATTCCTCAGCTGCAAAGTTTTTATTTTCTTTCTCTGTTCTACTTGCCTTTAATGTCTAGGTTTTTTTACATGATTCAAAATCTTCTGAAATTGACATTCTGCTTTGGCTTTTGACAGATAATTTCTGACTGTGGAGGCAAATTCTGGGGTCATGTTATTTTGTGGATATTTAGTAGGGGTGAAGGAAAATATTAGATATCCAGTTTTTATAACAGTGGATTATTTTCATGATCCAGGGTAAACGTGAAAAATAGTAATAGTTTTGAAACATTTTCTGTCCAGATCTGAATGTTGAAATTAGGTAATCAGATTTTTCAAAAGCTCTTTAGATCAGTATACACTAATGCTTTGAGCTACTAACCACAAGGTCAGCAGTTCAAACCTGCCAGCCACTCTACAGAAGATGAATAATTTTTCTAATCCTGTAACTATTTATAGCCTCAGAAACCTACAAGAGGAGTTTTTGCCCTGTCCAAGAAGGTCACTCTGAGTCAGAAAAGACATGCAGTGAGTTTTTAAATCTATCTATCTACATCTATCTATATCTATATCTATCTATCTATCTATCATCTATCTACTATATTAATATTGACACTGTTGTGGGGGATAGGTCCTTCTGTTTTGCTATTTTTTAATTAAATACTTTTATTGTGGGCTCTTACATCTCTTATCACAATCCATACATTCATCCATTCTGTCAAGCACATTTGTACATATGTTGCCATCATCATTTTCAAAGCGTTTTTCTTTCTACTTAAGACCTTGGTATCAGCTCATCTTTTCCTTCCCCTCCCTCCCTCATGAGTCCTTGATAATCTATAATTTTATTTTTCATGTCTTACAGCAACCACTGTCTCCCTTCACCCACTTTTCTGTTGTCCATACCGCTGGGAGGGGGTTATATGTCGATCATTGTGATCGGTTCCCTCTTTCTCTCCCCACCTTCACCTTACCCTCCTGGTATCGCTATACTCATTATTGGTCCTGAGGGGTTTATCTGTCCTGGATTCCCTGTGAGGGGAGCTCTTATGTGTGCCGGTGTACATACTCTGGTCTAGCTGGATTTTCAAGGTAGAATTGGGGTCATGATAGTGGGGGAGAGGAAGAATTAAAGAACTAGAGGAAAGTTGTGTTTCATTGGTGCTATACTGCACCCTGACTGGCTTGTCTCTTCCTTGTGACCCTTCTGTAAGCAGATGTCCAATTGTCTACAGATGGGCTTTGGGTTTCCACTGCACCCTCTTCCTCATTCACACTGATATTTTTGTTTTGGGTCTTTGATGCCTGATACTTGATCCCATCGACACCTCATGATCATTCAGGCTGGTGTGCTTCTCCCATGTGGGCTTTGTTGGTTCTCAGCTAAATGGCCGCTTGTTTATCTTCAAGCCTTTAAGACCCCAGATGGTATATCTTTTGATAGCTGGTGTGTGACAATCCACTCCTTGCCAACTTGGCACAATTCTTTGGCCATATATATAATTTTCAAACAAACAATAATAAAATCACATCTGTACTTAACAGGATAAAACAAAAATGTATGCAATTCAAAAGTGTGCCACCCTCCTTTAAACATAACATTTTATAAGGGAACAAAACAAAAATATCCGATGCCTGACAATTTCAGTTAAGAAACACCTACACCTTAATCCTATAATCAAACTTTTTAAACAGAGGGCCAGTTCACTGTCCCTCAGACCCATTAAAGGGCTGGACTATAGTTTAAAAATAAAATATGAACAAATTCCTATGCACACTGCACATACTCTATTTTGAAGTCAAAAACAAAATGGGGAAAAAACACACGGCAGCCTGGATAAATATCCTCGGCAGGCCGCATGTGGCCCGCAGGCCATAGTTTGAGGACCCTTGCATCCTATAA